CACTGTCAGTGACAACCAAATTTCCCTGTGGCGAAATCAACACGCGCCACAAAAATATTCATGTGAGACGTTTTGCAATTTCTTGCAGAGAAAATCGTGTGGATACCATTTGCGAAATCACTCTATTGTCCGAACAATTTCTAATAGATACATCACCAGCTATAATTTTAATTATTACAGCGTTACGTTCATCTGCTCAAATGGTTTCTTATGCATTAACAATTCAGATCAGGATCACAGGACTATTTTTCCTGTACCCATATACAAGCAAACATACAATGGTGTATTGAAAATTTGAAGTGTCGCTTGAATTTATATTTCGCTGGGTTGTGTACTCAATTGAAATATGTGCGCGAAAAGGCGCTACTGTTCGGAATCTGCAATGAAACCGCAGCGTCGCGACGAAAGCTATTCAAGAACAAGGCGGCCGGGGCAAAATGAAGAAGTACTTCCACTTTAAGCTCTCCCCTTCCAAGCAGAAGTACGCGGCCGAAAAGGAAGCACTCCAGAGCGCCCTCGAGGACATCGAGAACAAGAAGCATCGACTCTTTCAGGAGAGGATTTACAATGATGGCCTCAATCACAACTTCGACGATGAGCTCTCCTTGACAGACTCCACGACAGCTTTTAGCATAGGCCAAGCTGACGATAAGTTTCGCTATCGTCAGCTCAAGACCAGGCCGTTGACGTCAAACTCAAAGCCCTCAACTCTTTCTTTTCCACGACCAAGCACTGTGAACGACTCAAACGTCATGAAAAGCGAAAAGGACACTGTTGCTACTGAATTCTACGCTTCTAAGTCGTCCATACCGTCTGCGATTGCCAGTGAAACCTTTGAAGATGTGACGAATTCTCGGACAAGTGCATTCGACTCTCTCAAGCGCCGTGTCCCCGACACAATCGAATGGCTTGAGAAGGATATTATGCTGCACGATGACAAACTCGGTTACATTCGGCTTGGAATAATTGAAGTGTACAGGGGAAGTACCTTAAGCGAGACACGAAAGATCATCACCCAATTCGTTCAAACCTCCCCCAAGAACTACACTTTTTGCCACTGCGACGACGAGTCGGAGATTGAAGGCCTGCGAGAGAGCACAACTCTCGTGTCGGAATTGTACGAAGGACCTATCCGCATTAAATCCAACACTGTGGCTAAGGCGAAAGAAGACAAGTTGAAACGGCTCTTGGTGAAGGACCGTCAGCAAGCCGCCTTCCAGCAATTTGTTGGCCGCCAGCATCAAGAACCCAAGCACGCGGTTGCACCCCAACGTGTTGCCGAAGTGAAGGCTACATCGTCACCAATATTAGGTCACATTCCACGGCATGTTGTCGAAGGACCTTCACATTTCTCTCCTCCGCACAAGCGCACAATCTATGAAATTGAGACTAAGATTAGTGGCCACGATTGCAAGATCAAGTTTCAATTTTATCCCAAGCAAGAGCGCATCGTCATTCGTGCGAAAGCGATCCATGATGAGACCCTGTCGACTACGACCACAATGGAGGAAGTCGAATTCCGCAAGCTGATCGGAGCGACGGAAGATGTTGCATTGCTTGGTACAGAGACCTGCCCTGACCTTCTTTTTACAACCACTTTGGTAGAATTCACTATAAACGATGGCAACGCAAAAGCCGTTGTTGAGACATTAAAGCTAGAGCGTCCAATCACCCATGAGTCGGAGGACAACTTCATAGGGCGATTGAAAAAGTTCGTGCGTGTGCCAAACATGAAGTTTCGGCGACCCAAGGAGCATGAAAAGGTTGAAGTGCCAGTCGTCAGCACATCGGAGAATAGAGTTGACATCGTGGCGCCAAAACAAAACAAGGCGGAGCGCATGCAGATACTAAATTCAGTTCCAACAACCGTGAAAGGAGCCAAGGCGACGGTGTCAGTTTTGTCCTCTCATCTGGTTGATTCGTCCACGCCAGTTGTGGCAAAGATTGAGTCTGAGTTGAAAAGGAAACGGGCGTTAGCTTCCCATTACAACGACAAGGAAGGAGAAACACACGATAACTCCCCTAAAATCGCAAAACAACTACGTCAACCTCACGCGCTAAAGGAGGCTACGTTCCAAGTGCACAAAAGGAGAAAAGTGGGGACTCTCAACAACGAAGCGTCGACTCTAGAGATCCCTGCGCTGATCGTTCAATCCGCAGACAACGATCATCGACGCCTCCGAGAAAGCTTGGAAATTGCCGCCAAGAAAGCAAGCCATGTCGCCCAAGACGAAGACGAAGATTCACCTCCCCCAACAAATCAAATGCATGAAGCCGTGACGAAGTTGAAAGATTTGAGTAGTGTCGACAATGCGATGAAGAAGCTACGAGCATTCGTTCACAGCGGTGCTGCTATCCACATGTATCACCTTGAAAACCGAAAAGATGAAATCGACAAGTTGTATGCACCGCGGTCGAAATCTGTCTCGATTGCACGACATTGCATTGTGGTGGCGTTTCTCAAGTATATCCGCGAGTCCACGTTGCCACTAGTACCCCACCCGTATGAGTACGGCATCGACATGTTCGATGCAGCGAACTCGTCATTCCACGAGCTCTTGCTTGCTGTGGACGAGGAATTGAGTGTTTGTGATTCTGGCAAGTTGCGCGACATTCAACACGACATTCGAAAGTGCATATTGGACGACGTTGGTGCACTTGTCAGCTTGATCGACAAGAAGGGTGGTGTTACCGAAGCCGAGTTGGAGACGATCGGTCAACTCGAAGCCAAGTTGGCGATTGTATGCCATATATCTCAGTGGTTTCGTCCGACTCAAATTCGTTCCACGATCTTCGAAGGCACGTTCCCAGCTCTCACGAAGCGCGAGACGATGGAAATATACAAGCTTACGTTCGTCCCGGCCAAGGAAAAGCCGTTCTTGCCACAGTTCATCAAGAACCAGGCCAATCTAGAGACCGAATTCAAGGATTTGTTGGAGCTGCTGTACATTTTGATATTTTCTTTCTACAACAGCTCGAGGTCGACCGACAAAAAGCTGCGATATTTTACTTTACTTGCGCCAACCCAAGCTGAACGGGTGCAGACCGTGCTCCAAGCGATCGAAGAGCGACAAGGAAAGCTTCTCGACATCCAGTTAGCCTTCAGTGACGTCACGTCCGATCTGTTGATGAAGCGCGTGCGGTTGCTTCTTCAATGCATTCCCCGCGCGAAGGTGTTGGTCAAAGACAGATCATGCAAGCTCCCATCGTTTCTGGCCAATTTAGCAACCTTTATGACTGGGTCGCACGCGTTGTTTCAACTGAAGCTGGTGACTGCACTGGCGTCGAATAACAACATCCACAATGCCCAATCCCTGCGGTTTATCATGGAAATGGTCAAATCTCATGCTCTTGACACCGTCAACGTTCCAAATTCGTTGGCGAATTACCTGGAAGAGGCACTTGGGCCACGTTTAGGGTTGGATAAGATCAACATTGAACGCGTAAAGGCAAAGCACGACAGGTTGACGTTGTCCGGAGAGCTGTGTGCATCCGTGTGGAAGCAATCGAATACTATGGCTGCCAAAGCGACCACGTTATGGAAGGCTCGCTGGGATAGCAAGTCCAATGTAACATCCGACGGCCTCGACCGCTACCTTTTCAAGGCCGAGAGCGAATGCATTAGCGAATTTATCGTCTTGTTACCAACCCCCGAGCCAGTCCAACAAGATGATGCCTGGCTGGATGAACTTGACGTGTCCCAGCGGCTGCATGCCGAGCTTGAAGAACATGTCAAGCACGTTGCCACAGTTTGGACGAATATGCTTGACCACAAGAAAAAAGACTCATTTAACCACCGAGCAGCGTTTGGTCTAAACCTGCGCCGGTTTGAGTTTCTTACAAGCAATCTGCTGTCGTCGGCGAACCTAGCGTTCTTTTTGTCTCATCCTGCTGTTAGGCACGTTGCCGTGGGATATGCCGTAGCCCACAAAGTACTGCGTGTTCAAATTCGTTTCTATGGACCAATTCTGGCCCCAACAACCCAGACAAGTCGAATTCACGCCCACGAACCAAACGCGTTCAATGACTTGTTGCAGCAAATAGCCGAATCGGACGGCGAGCATGTCAGTGTTTTCATTTTGCAGAGAGGGATTCATTTTATCATGGAAAATCTTTTGGATGTCCGTCAAGTGGCATGGGGATCACTGGCGTTGGGTGGGCCCTTTTACGATCTGCTCATTGAAGACAGATTGCTCGCACGTTTCTCGGAAGCTATTATGAAGAAAGCCATGACAAAATTGCTCATTACCATTGCCGACAACACGTCCCTTCTATCCCACGACTTGCTGCAACTTCTCATGGACACAATTTCTCGCGCAAACAATTGTTGTGGCGAAGACGACCCAGTCATGTCATTGATTTGCTTTTTTGGGACAGCAGCGTTGCGACTTTTCCAGATCATTCTCAAAGTGACTGTGGCTACAACTTCGACGACAAGTGTTCTGGAGATGACCTCGATGGGGCAACCTGTCGAACTCGAACACTTGAACCAAAAGCAGGTATGACCCTTTGTTGTTCGTGGAGTATATAAAATGAACTTCTGAGCAGAAAAACTTTGTGGCGTGCAAAGGAATGGTCTTGCTGGATGCAGCAATGACAGCGCCTTCATTTTCCCGGACAGGAATTCTCATGGACGACACTCCGACGTATCAAATTTGCCACAAATTGATCATCGATCTGCTTCTCACGCACGAATTTTCGAAGCGACCGCGAGCTCTTATTGTGCACCATAAATTCTGGCTCGTTCATTTCATCGCTGACGTGCGTGCTGAAAAGTTGGATGCATACGTGAACATGGCACTTCAATCTTTTTCAGATGTGCTCCAAGGGTTTTCAGACTCATTTGCGTTCTCAACATCGATCGTTTGCGACTGCGGATGTGGCATATCCGTGTTATGGTGAGCGAAAAAAGATGTAATGGGCATTACTAAGCTTCTCGTGTAGGAACATCGACATGTATGAAAGCGTGCTAAAAGTGTATTTGGATTTGATTCAAACCCGGTCGGGAAGTCGTTGGGCCCAAGAAAAGAATATGACTGGAATCTTGTCTCTTTTGAAGATGTTAAACACGTCCTATGTGAAAGCAATGCCTCCCCAATCGATTACAAAGACAACAATTCTCCGGACCATTTACGCTCTTGCCCAAAAGATCAAGCTGGCCGACAATCTGGTCAAGTTTTTTGAAGTTGTGCCAGCGGAAATCATTGCGTTTTTCAACTTGAACAGTACACCAAGTCTTGAGATCGAGATATTCCGCCTCTTCGCTATGATACTCCACTTCGGCCTCCAACGAAAGGTTCCGCAATTGTCCATCGCAGTATACGCTACGAATGTCGTGGAAATCGCATCACTCGTGGTGGGGACACTCAACCCGCACGTGATGGACATCATTCCGCCTCTGTGGTCAGATGTCGATTTGTCCGACATTACTTTCAAGAGCTCACATACACTACGTTTGATTGCAGCCGAACACGAGCAAAGCCTGGTGGACGAATCTCGCAACGGAACCCCTAGTTTGCTCGTGCTTTTTGTGACCCTCATTGACGCCAGGTTCGACAAGTCGATTCAAATTTTACACTTTCCGGCGATCATTGGCCTATGTTGCATGCTGTACGACAAAGACATCGCAGAGATCTGCATCAAGGAAAACGTCCTTGTTCGGCTCCTTGATGTGCATGAATGCAGCACGACCTTATATATTTCGACAAAGCAGCAATACTGCATCTGGGCCGTGAGTCTCCTGTGCTCTCATGTAGTACACAATTCGAGTTTGAGTCCTTATCTTACAAGCCAAACCCTCAAACGCATCCTCCAGCACTCCTACAGTAGCCTCGGGATGATTAATCGAAGTCGATCAACCCGGCTGGACCACTACGTGCAACAAATCAACAAGAACGGGTTCATTGGGCCAGTGGAACCACCAAGGGAACAAGTCTCGATGGTCGGCAAGAAAAAGGAGATCGGCAACGATACCCAAAATCTGATGTCGAGCTTGAATTTACAGCTCAAGATGCTGTTCGACAGCAACGATTTCAATACGTTGCGTCGAGGGTCGTCCTTCCACACGCTGAACAAAGTGACGAAAGGCGACAGATTGCTCGAGTGGGAAGAAAACCTTGAGACTGCCGTGAGCGACCGCGACGACCGGACTTCCACGTTGTACTTTATTCTCATGAACGCCGTGTCATGCATGACGACCAACTTGATCCAAATTAAAGGTTCCGACGAAATCAAGGTCATTTGTCGATCCATTGTGGTATGCGCGATGGCAATTAGCACAGGATACCGATGATGGAATGAGTAGGGGTATTTCATTGCGGAAGAGCTCAACCCCCCCGAGTACTTTGTTGCCACGTATTGCTTTGCCCTGCGGAACATAGTGTTTGCTGTGTGTCGACAATCCAACTTGAATGAGCTCTGGGAGAAGCAAACGCTCAATGTATTTCTGAAAAAACTGTTCGGGTTCATTCAGCAAAAGAGAGTATCGACGACGGGTGTCTGTGTCGGTCAAGAATTTTCTGTAGAGTTACTGTGGGGGCTCCTCATGATCACCAAAGGAAAGGAAACGTGGTTTCTCTACGGCGACGAGGTTGCAGTGCCGATGCAAGCGACCCCGCTCGTCGCGTACTCGTCGCCAACGCCGGAAATTTCAGCAAAGTCAACACCACAACCACTTGATCGAGTAAAGCTAAAGACACTCGTGGAATGTGCCGGCAGCCAAGATTTAGTTGTGGCCGAGTATGCTTGCGCGTCGCTTGCGATTTTGATGCAAAACCACGAAACGGCCCTCTACTTCATGACGGAGTTTGGTTTCAGTCGAGCTCTGATGCTTGTTCAGCAGTTTCGAAACAAGAGTCAGCCCAAGTCCCCGCAGTACCGAAAAGCCAACCCGTTGGTCCTGCCTCGAATTGATCTTGAAGGAAAGTGGTATTCCCGAGAGTTGTACGGGTCACATTCTATGTATGACGAAGGGCTTCGACTGAATCGTGAGGGTCGAGCATTTGTCCAGTTGGTACGGTTTGTCGCAAATTCCATTCGGATTGTGTCGAAAGATATCACAATTTCGAACGACTATATCACAACATCTGAGGTACGAACTGTTACCGTGGTTTTCGTCAACTCAATGCTGCATGGAGTAGAAAGTGATTAAAGACACATTTGTTTTGTTGCTCCACCGAGCCTCCGAGCCTTTTGTTCTTGTCGAAGTCTTGCGTGGCTTGCGAAGTCTGATCAAATTGAGCTCGACCACCAATTTCGACTGCTACTTCAACCGCTCTGATTTCGACCATTTACGCAACATGTGCTTTGACTCATCGTACACTCCACCTGTTCAAGCCATGGCGTTGAAGTGCTCACGGTTGCTCTTGAGCAAATATACGACGACCATTCCGTTATGTCGGATGATGTTTGACGAGCGTGGTAAAGTCGTCACTCTGCTTGATCATTCAAATCTCAGAGTCAGAGTGCAGGTACATCACCACAAGGTTGACTCACACGTTAATCCAACGAACTAGGCCATCCATTTGATGCTTGAAATCGCTATGACGTACATTAACCCAGTGCAAATGCGGTTAATTGCTGACGATTTCAACACGCCTACAGCAAAAAATGCGTTAAGCGCAATGCTGAATGAATTTAGCATAGTCTTGCAAGACCCGAAACGGAAGGAGGCGGGTCAAGGTTTGATGGACATTCTCATTCGCTTGATCATCCAACTGGATTTGTTGAGTTTTGTCAACGACGATTGCATAATCGATGCAATTTGCAACATGATCCATGCAGTCACTGGCGAAGCTCAATTGCATGGTCAAGACCATCATGTCGAAGAGTATGCGAGGAAGCCTTTGCGGCCGATGGTATGGCACAACTTTCTGTACATTTCCCTTAAGTATGAGCTGTGTGTGGTTGTAGTTGTGCACATCACTGGCCAAAGTTATTTGCAAGGGTGGCAACGCAAAGTGGTTTCTCAAAGCTGAGCGGCTGGATGCGCTCGTAGCGGTACTGGGTCAAGACTCGACGTTGACAGAATTGATAGACTTGGTGTGCATTTTGTTCACGATTTGCAAAGAAGAGTCGGCGATTGCACTATACTTGGGAAAGCACTCGTCGCATGCGATTCTGCATATCTGCCACGTTCTGGGAGGCTTTTACGAGTTGCAAATGGTCAATTGTGTTGAGAGCGAAAAGGGAAGCATCGACATTGATGAACAGTCGCCACGAGCCCCCACCGTTGAAAACCAACATGACGTCTCTCAGGAAATCGACGGAGCCATCGCATCGCTGGAGGTCGGGATGCTCAAGAAATTCCGAACTATGAAGAAGCGACTTCTCCTGAAAGTCTACTTTCAAAAGACTGAAGAGCTCAAGATCTCGCGCCACATGTACAAGATCTACAAATACGTACGTGTTGGTACTGTTGAAACAGTACATAATCCGGCGTCACTTTGATAGTGCCTGCTCTTGCTCAACGTTATATTTGAAGCACACAATTGCGGATACACCGAAGTGTATGGATGTACCTGTAAAACCAAGGATGGATGTTACATGTGCACTCCGTCCGACCTGCTCCGCAAGGTTAGAGTCCACTATAGACAAGATCGATGTCATCACGATCATACTTATAGGCAAACGGAGGTGAAACCCTTCGCTGGCTGTTGCTGTCCAAACGAATTCGAGCAGCGAAGGGAATCATGTACAACAGCGTTCCCGATCGTGAGGCCAATTGCATTGTGTTCAACGTCCTCCGAATTCTTAAGGCGGCGTGCTTTAACCATTTATTCCGCCAGCAACTTCTGGATGCAACGTCCACAAAAAAACTGTCCTGTCAAGGATCTGCAATGCTACTAAAGCTTCGAGATATCTGCGGCGACACCAACAATCCATTTGTTACCAAGAAGAAGGGGTGTATCATTGACGCTGTTGTGGTCGTGGGTCAGCTGTGTTCGGAGGACGGCGTGCGAGAATTCATGGGGGTGACAGCAGACATTTCAACTCATTTGTTTTCAATCATCAACGACAGGTATTGACGACTTGTCTGGCCAAAGTGTCAAAATTTTGATGGCTAGGATTCAAGTGCAAGTGCCATGCATGCTCCGTGCGTGCTTGTTTGCGCTGTGTCGCGTCGCGGGCAGTGAGGCGGTGGTCTCGTCTAAACACTTCAAGCGAACCATTCGGCTCACATGCAGTTTGCTCACGATGGAAAGCGTGGTATCTGACAAAGTGTGCTTCAACAACATTATGCTGTTCTGCCGCAACATCATAGCGTTTGGAAAACAAGACGTGCCTTTGATTCACGAATACTTGACGGGACCAATTTTGGCCTTACTGGGCAGAACGATGCAGTTGACAACGGAGGATGGTGACGAATTCATCGAGTCAAATTTGAGGCTGGTCGGGGTTGACACTCTGTGCTATCTGCTTTTCAACACTAGCATAGCACTTCGGCACGCTTTGACAGAGGAGCAGGGACGACTAAAACCGCACGATTTGAAGCCACCAGAACCAAAACGGCGAAACACTCGAAAACTCACCACAGCAACAACAGGACACACCTTTCCCGTCGACACCACACAAGAGCAGACCGTTTTTGCAAAAATGGGAAAAATATGGCAACTTCACCTTCAAAACATGAACGCTGACGAGCTATCAAATTTGGGGAGTTTGGACGACAAGCTTATTCACGTGTACTATGCGTTGTATGGGGCCAAGAACGAGACTCAACTTTTCTTGGACATCCTCAAGATTCATGCGTGCTCCAAGACGACGCAACCCGACCATCGACGAGAAAGCCTCGCGCATACCACAGAACTTACTCCCGTCGGACCAAAGGGACCAGATCCGTTGCCTCTATTCTTCTTGTTGGAGCACTCAACTCCAGCTGATTTGCGGAATTTCACATTTGCCGGTGCAAATCACGTTCCAGGCTCGCCGTTGTCGTGGAAAGTGCTGCGAAAACTGATGGCGACTATCAAGCTCAAGGGAGATCTCGAAATTTCGCAGTCACACTTGCTGGCAGTGTTGGAGCTGCTGGCGGTGTGTCAGCCCGACGGGTTGAGAAACCTGTCGAGATCATCTCATTGGTGGCTGATCGAACTCGAGTCCGAGTTCATTCGATTTGTCCACGACATCGTTCACCAAAACCAGTTCCTGCAGGCGAGTGGAGACACGTTAAATCTATCGTACAAGACTGCCTTGCGGTACTTTCATTCGGCATTTGCACACGAAAAGGCATCCGACTCATTTTCCAAACATTTTCGGGGGTTTGTCATCTTGCATGCCTATTCCAATCACACCCCGACAATGCAAAAGCTTGCCCAAATGATGGCCAATGTGCCAGAAATTGCACCTGAAAGCGCCAACGAAGGCGTGATGGACGAAAATGCAATTCCAGCGTTGGTCACAGAGTGCCTAAGCGGGATGCGTCTGGGCAAGCGAAGAGTCACCTGGAAAAAAAGGGATCATGGCAAGCAGCCCTTCTCTATGACGTACTACGTGACCGAAGTGTCGCATTCAAAGGTCCTTCCATATTCGTTGGGAGTGCTCAAGGCTCTCAATGATCACGACGCAAGGTTCTTGAGCTGGTTCTTGAAGCTTGATGGGTTGGATATCCTTGTCGAGATTTTGGACCTCGAGTTGGAGTACGAGTGTGCCGCAGTGATTCCATCGCGACTATACGTGCTACTCACCACTTTGCAGTTGCTGAAGGACAGTATCTTGTTGCATCCTGACACTATGGATGTCCTTGCAGCAAATCCACGCATATTTTTGAGATTGTTCGACTTGACATCCCACGTCAAGACGCAAGTAAAGCAGATTGCGATGGCTCTCATCGCTGAATTGACAAGCACGCCCTGGATTTGTCAAGGCGTGTATTCCATGCAAGTGTTTGAAGAACTCCCGGTTTTTGGCAATGCCGATAGTACTGTGCTTGAGCAAAAGCTGAAACAACTCAAAGCAATCTTTGGAGCGACTGTTATAGAGAGTGATGGCGGACATTTGTTCGTCGACACCAACACCATGATCGACGTCAAAAAGTATGCGCAGCTATCAAACGTGCGCTTCTTTCGCATGCTGAAGCCAGTCACGTTGGTGAAGCTGACCAAAGCGCTTGATTCATGGCCTTCGTTCGACTCGAAGAACTTTATGGTGTGCCACGATGGTCGAGCTGCGACGATGCCGTTGTGGTTGGTTGAGCAGTATGTAAGCGATGACATCATCATCAACTCAAACAATGCGAGCTACAAGCGCGCCAAGGTGCTGGATGTCGTGTCTCGTATGGGCGCCAAACTTGCCACGACGTGCAACATGGCGACGGACAAAGGACACAGATTGACTCGAGACGACTACATGTCATCCGTCGACGCCAAGGAGCGGAAACTAGTTGCGAACTCGATTTGGAAAACCATCAACGCGTGTATTGGGACCAACGAGCACCGATGTCGATTACGATTCACACAGCAGATTTTTCGCATCCTGATTGAAGACCAAGCTCGTTTGTTGCGCACAAAACGTCAAAGTAGCGCTAGCTCGAGCTTGCTAGTGCCACATCACGTGTCCCTGGAACTTTTTGGGTTCTTGCGGAAGTGTTCGTTGTTACGTTCCCTGGACATGGAGCAAATTGGCGCCATGTGCCGACGTATCCCAATGCCGCAGGCGTTCTCTCCGGTCACAATGACCGATTTGATCGTGGTCTGTCGGGGAACTGTAACCGTGTCCTATAAACCAACTATGTTTTCTTTTCAGCTGGCCAAGTCAGTCCAGTGGAAGCGATCGTTTGGGCGTGGCGAAATCGTATGGTGTCCGAAGTGGATATCCACAGACACTCGCATTGAAGGGTTTGATCACAGCCGGTATCAGGTGCATGCGTCACCTAACACCACTGCCTACGTTTGGACTTACGACCTACATCGACGCGCCTTCTCAAGCGATACGTTGACAAAGCTGTCAGCCGACATTTCAAAGCTGTTCGACGCGATTGAGAGTGGAGACCGCCATCTTGTTTGGACAAAAGAAATGTCGATGTTTGCATATGAAGAGTCCCAATTGCGGTTGCTCCAAGTTCACAGTTTATGCGTTCTCGGTCACTTGTCGCAAGTTCCTGAAATGGCCTTGATTTTGGTCAAAGATAGTCAATTGATCAACTTTATTGTTATGATGGCACTATCGTCGTTGGACGACAAGGTTGTCATCGCTGCATTCCAAACTCTTCGACGGTTCTGCAACGACCCAAGTATTGCCCAAGAGCTAATGAACATCAAGCTTGACATCTTTCAAGGCCACTCGGTTCTCCATGGTATCCTCAATGCAATTGACATTTGGAGTACATCTGGTCAACTCACGAGTGAAGTCATTGTACTCTTGCGTCAAGTGTACAAGTTGGTTCCAGGTGCAGCGGTGTCGATTCCGTCGACTTGGAAAGTCCGCCATCACGAATTTTTCCACCAATGTTTAGTCGCGCCGGACAAGGAATTGCATCGACACTTGACTGCGATGGTGTGTGAAGTTCTTCGGCAATCTCCGTCCATTGTGAAAAACTTCACTGACGCTGGGTTGCACGTGGGGTTCGCACGCTTATTGAATTCGTGCGATGGCGGGTTGCTGTGTGACGTGCTCCACTTGATGTTATTGTTCTGCCTCGATGAACCAACTCGGCGGATGCTTTGGGCAGAACGAACGTTTCACCGTGGCATCAAGCCGGTGCTTTGCAAGATGTCCGTGGAACTCGAGGAAGCGATCAACCTTGACCGCGACAAAATTTACTGCGACTTTTTCAATCTCTTGCTAGATGCTGAGAGAGACCAGGTGTACAGCCGAGCATACCGGCACTTCTTCGGTTCCAACACAACCTTGGTCTCAACGTTGACCCATCGCATTCTCAAGGTGGAGCTGTCTCCCGATCACCAATTTGAGCTTGCCATGTGTATGGAGTGTTTGTGGCGACTATGTTATGAGCACGAAGGAAATGCAAAACAAGTTGCAAGAAGCTGCGACGAAACTGACATCATCGACGTGCTCGGAAACTTTTTTGAACGGTCCCACAGACACACCGAGTTTCAAATTGCTGTGCTCCTGCTCATTCGATCGCTGTGCACTGACCCGTTGTTTGCCACGAAATTGTGTGTAGTCGGTTTGCAGCAACAATTGTTGGAGTTCGTGTTGTCGCCTCCTGCCAATTTGGAAGCGTCTATACCAAGGACGTGCGCTGCATTGCATGCTCTTGGCTCGGCCTTTTTGCATTCGACTTTTGCCCGAAAGGCGCTGACCATTGAACACATTTTACCATGCATTGGCTTGCTATCACATTCATCTGCCAAGCCAGAAATGCTTTGTGGTGTTCAACAGTTACTTCGGTTTGCCTGCATGGAGCCGCCCGTCCGGCAGCTAGTCTGGGATCATCACGCTTCATCCTCTGCGCTAGGATGGAAACCATGGATGAACACGATCGAACAGTCCAGCAAAATGTACTTGAAGACTTGTGAAGTCGCCCACCGTCAGATCGAGCTGCATACACTGGGTCTAATAGCTGAACTCTGTGAGGTTGAGGACATTGCACGATCGTTTTGCACTTACGACGGCGGTGCACTACCTCGCTCCATGTTCGACTTGGCCGTGTCGCATGCATCCAGCAAAGTTGTGCATCAAATCTTGCGAATTTTGGTCACAGTTGCCGAATTCATGCACGCGTGGGCAGACCCCCATTTCGAGTTTGCCAAAGCTTTTGAAAATCGCTGTGTGATGCGGTTGAAGAATACTCTTGGCAACCATGATTCCAACGCCATGGTCGTGCGATTTCTGTGGCTCTGGGAAATGAATTCGTCGCATCCGATGTCCAGCACGCTCTTTGGGAACAATGGGCATCGCGTTTATTCAAATGTTGCCGAAGTCATATGCAAGCGTGGCGTATCCGACATTGAGCGTACCATGTTCATGGGGTACATGCGTTTTCAGCTGGATCAAGTCGCTGCGTTAAATTGTGGCAGCACTTTGGATGTGCGCTTTGCCAACACCGTTTCAGGTCACGTTTGTTCTTCTTTGCGGCATTTTGCACCAGACATGCCGTTTCCAGCCCTTCGATTTGCGCCGGACAATGTCATGAGCTATTTTTCGTGGTCTCGCGATCGCCAATTCATTCCACACGTTCAAAACTGGCTGCTAATGGAAGTAGCTCTCACAACATTACGAATAATGGGGTCTGGACAACTCCAAGCATCCACTTCATTTCGACATCTGGTTGAGATTGCCATTGCTCATTCAATTGAATTTATCCAATCCTTGGACTCGCCAACATCAACGTCTACCTCCAAGCAAATTCTTTTGGCTGCGTTCGGTCTGTTGGCTCATTCGAAAAGTCACGCGCGTTGCCAAAGTGTACTCTTGTTTAGAAAAATTGAGTTACTTCTCGTCGACGCTGAACTCAGTCTGGTCATCGCAGTAAGTGGTAGTCGGATTATGCCAGTATCTAATACCGCCGTAGGTACTTACGAGTCTCCAATCACTTCTTGGTCACAATCCGACATTGTGCTTTTGGCTGTCGAAAACAAACCTGAACTTTGTTGAACGGGTCATCGATATCCTCAACATGAACACAGACAAAAGCGTCGAGGCCGCTGGGCTATCCGTGATGCAGGTGTTGGTTGCGCGGTGTTATCGATTCGCAGTGAAAGCCATCAGGATGGATGTACCCTTCCTTTGCATTCGACGAAGCATGTTAGAGTCTTCTCAGAGCACATTACTTTGGCTGCGGCTTTTGGAACACCTCGTGGCTATATGTGGGACAACGCATGCATTCGAAAAAGTCGACACTGCGATAAGAGCCGAGTTCTGTCAATTCTTGGTGTCTAGGGCTGCCATGGAAAACTTCAATCTCCACTCCAATTGGTCTAGCTGGGTTGCTTCAATTGCGATGCTTGCCGGCGCAGTCGTGGTGCACGAACAACTGGTGATGCATTGGACCTCCACTGGCAGCTTTTTTGTTTCATCTCTCCTGAAAGCAATTCTTGGCAAGCCCGATGAAGACGGAGATCGTGCAAAAAAGTGCTATTCACTCCTCATGACATTGCTTGAATCTCGACACAAACCGTTGGTTCAGCACATTGTGAACATGCACTCAGATCTGGAGGAAGTTGTAAAGTGCGCTTTTTCGTTTCGACCGAGTCCGTCCAAGCTGCACGCGGTCCAAGTGACTTTGGTCTGCAGCGTTCTCAATCATTTGGCCATGGACATCCATGCGACGATGCTCTTTGCCAATATATCCGAGTACTTCAGTCAATACGATTCGTTTCCACCTAGTTGCCGTCACGTTTGCTTTGAGATTTTAACATCAACCCTTGCTGCCAAGTTGCCGCACCGGCACCCCAAAACACCTTTGTTGCGCGATGTACTTGCCACGTTGGCGTGGGGTAAAGTCGTCAAGGATGTCTTGAACGGCATTCGCTCGAGTTCCTATCACGTTCAGCTGTCCAGTCTTCGCTTGTTGGATGCGCTATTAACGTACTCGACCCAATGTACGCTACGAGAGCTTGACGTCATGGAGATCAGTGTTCTCCAAGCCACGTTGTCGGAAATTCTCGACGGGTTTACCAACAATACGTGCGTGGATACCCGATTGGAAGAAGTGTGTCGATCGTCAGCCTCGTCCATCGCAAACTGTAGCACAGCATTCGATGTGCCGTTTGACGTCCCGTTGCGCCAATGTCGGCGTGCTGTGTACGCAAAACCAAGTCGCGCCAAAGAAACTGTGAACGAGAATGAAGCCAATTTGTATCAAAACCACGGGGCTGTCTATTTCTTTGCGCTCAAGTGCATCCAAGTGCTCGACATGGACGCCAAGTCCATCACTGTGCACAACATATCACCGATGACGTCGAATTTCGACTGGGGATGCAGCTTCGTCGTGTATAGAACGGTCAACGCAGATATGTTTGACGCCGATTCCGTTCACGCCATGTTGCTTCTCCTATACAGTGGCATCTTGCACTCGGGTGGTGGAAATGGAAATAGCGATGTCGTGGCGAATGATCCATTCATGCACTGCTTGTTGCGCTTTGCTGGAAGTCATGCCTACCTCCAGCTGAGACAAATGGTACATACACTCGATTTCGTGTAGGAGAACTCATTCCCCCGTAGGCCACAGCGTTGTTCTGGAAACTGTTGCATTGCGCCGATGCATCCATCGTGAGTGCGATATGCACTTTGGTGTCGCAGTTCAAATTTTGCCTCCTACGAAACTTGCACGAAAATCTCACTCTTGTAGAACCCCTCATCGGGGCTACGTTGACGGCCAAGGACGCGTGGAAAGACCTGCTGTTGACCACGTGTGGCCTCTTGTGTGAATTTTGTGTCGACGCTGCCATGAGCGCTTCGATTGCATCGCGCAATTATATTCGTGACATTCTCGCCCTCCTGCAAGCCGATCGCCCGAATCAACTGAATGCGATGAACATTCAGTTTCTCACCATGATTGAGCGGATGATTCAGTCGGGCTTCACGAGTCTGCATTTGAACAACCGTGGGCTACTGCCGCACTGCTTGCAATGCTTGGCTCTGGACAATTCCGAGGCCCTTCGCAGTCAAGCTGTGTACGTGTTGTACCTGTTCTGCCAAGAAATGACCGGGTTGGACTTGCTGAAGACGACTGTGTTCCCCCATGTGGCCAACCCATCCACCCATGCCAGCAAAGTTGCTGCCGACGAAAGCACAAACAATGAGCTGCAGGCTGGTATTCACATGTATGCTCTCTCTGAAAGCTTGAAATGCAATCAACCTCGCCCGCAACGTGCGGCCATGTACCTCGTGTGTGAACTCTGCGCCGATCCACACCACGCAGCCGCTCTTCGAATGTGTCGCCAATCGTCGTCCTCTCTCATCAACTTGGTTGCTCACGTCCTGGCAGCGACGTTGGGCACAACCCACCGCAATCGCGTTCAGTTTCGTGGCGTCGTTGACGTATCCGAGACTGACGCGCGATTCACCTTCGTGACAGGATGCTATGCGCTCCAATGTCTCCAACGTTTAGATGTTTTTGCCGACGTGTTCAGCGATGTTGTGTGTGGAAACAAAGTGATGGTGCAGCTCTTTGCTGCCTTGGGATGGGCCAACTCGGAGGTACTCGCAACATGCCGAAACCCTCGCTTTGATGTCGAACTAGGTGTGCCGGCCTGCTGTTGCATTGTTGTGTGGAATCTACCAGTATGCTCTGAAATCTAAGGTCGAACAGAAGTCCCAATTCGGACCCAAGGAAAACTCGTCGGACGAAGGAATTGATTTGGCCATTCTAACGGGCCAAAGTCGAGACCACCTGTTGAATCGGATGAAGTGTTTTCGGCATAAAGTGGCCACGCAAATACCAAGCTATATCAAGCTCCTGGCAGACTGGGTGTCGTGGTTCTGCGCCCACAGACCGCTATCGCATGCTGACGTGTTGTCTTCGATACTCGAATTGATCTCGACAAGCGTGCAGTTGTTTTTCCCGACAATCTACTTTCCCATCCACGCCACGACCCGCGTCCACCACCAAACGCTTCTTGAGAATGTTTTTGACATTGCCTTTGGTCAACACGATCATGTACTGGGAGAAGCCGCCGCGTCCGTTCACATGGAAGCTCTGGGCGTGTTAGCAAATCTGTGCAATCACACAGAGTATGCATGCGCTCGCTTCGAAAGTCCCAGTGCCATGAAAATGTTGCTCGACTGTACGGAGAGGTCAACTGGACGATTACAGCGTGTTGCCGGACAACTGCTTCAAGCAGTGACAAAACATCAATCGGTCAAGGAGTGCATCTATTCGAACAAGCTCATGAGCTTCATGTCGTGGATCAATCTGCCAAACTTCGACCCGATCCTTGGAAATTTGCTGCATGCTGTCAAGAACCTCATCGAAAAACCCACAACACCGTCCCCTCATTACGACGCAACTACCATTGCTACCTTGTTGCTCAAAGCAACTCCGACCCAATGCCAAAATCTTCCTCCAGCTACGAATTTCCGTCGCATGCAACTTCGACTGAGCGTGAAATATCTCAATGCGAACACGATCGTGATGAACCCTACTTTCACCGCCAGAATCGACCACGACGACAACGTGACGATACTGCGCCGTGTGTACGTGCCAAGCTCGCTTCATGTTGAGCTGTCTTGGCTGCATTCAATAGACGTCCGAAACATCACCGTCCACCTCGAATTGTCGTCTCCAGGTCATGATACGATATTCGTCCACCATGCTTGTGGGTTTGACACCCCCACGACGTTCTCCGGTCATGATTCCGCGTACTCGATCGAAGGTCACGTGTCCGACGTGAGTGCAACCGATTTGCAGAGTCTTACTGGTCCGCTCGGTGAAGTGCTCAAGTTCTGCGTCCAAGAAAAGAAATTGCCCGAGCTGGGTCTCCTTTCTGCGCTTATTGGCGAATTGTGCAAGCATGACGAAGTCTTTTGCAACGTCGACTTGAACTTATGGTGCTTCATCGCGTATTTACTCCAGAACGGTTCAGCGACGGGTGGCAATAGCCAAGGGATGCAGTGTCTGAAGGCGATAGCTGCCACGGCCAGCGCGCAACACAAGCATCTGAAAACGTTTGTGTCGCACGTCATGTTCATGATTCAGTTGTTGGACATATACGGGATGTCGTCGTCCAAGATCCAATTACCAGACGACCGAAGTGGACACCACATTGGCCATCCGCACTGCATGCGAAACAAGGAGTCCATTCTCTTTATGGTGGCTGTCGCGGACATGGTGGCCAGCTACGGGTCCGTTTCGTTCGTTGAAAATGTGATGCGCCAACTGTTCATCGAACACTGTGGAGTCGTCATGTTTCTTTGTGGCGAGCACCGTGGCAAAGAGCACTCGTGCTCTGGGTACTTTTTTATTCAGACTCACTTCATTCGCCTCCTGCCGTCGCACCCGATTCTGCTTTCGCAGGACTGCTTTGTCCAGACGAATTTGCGCCACTTTGTCGAATGCGCCCACTCAAGCGACGACTGCGTCAAGCACGCGACCAAAATGATGCTTCACATCGTGTCTAATTCGATTGCGTGCCAACAGTTTGTCTTGCACAACGGTACGTCTGACCACATATTCTCTGACAGTCATTTGACCTGACGGTGTTCACAGGCTTGCATCTCTTGGGGCGGGTGGCGCAAATCCTAATGAACAACAACCTGACAAAAGGTACCAGGCACTTTGCTCCAGCCCTCTGCCAGATCGTCTTGGTGGCATCCTTCTTGTCGGCCAACATTTTGAGCCAAGTACCGTTGCCTCTGGAGTTTGAACGGCTCTTTTTTCCGTCCGCAGTGTCGAAAGATGTCATGCCGTTCCTGGAAATCCTCTTATGGCCACTAATGCCAGTCGATGGGGCCTTCACGTGGACTGAATCGTCGCTGCTTGCTGCTAAAGTGTTGAGCGATGTGATGGAGAAGCGATCGTCGAGGCTGCTGCTGGAGAATCACTTAATCCATATCTCATTTCGCTTGTCGCAGTCGCGAGTCCTGCTCGTTCAGGCTGCACTCGCAACGTGCTTGGACTGCACTGCGTGGGACCAAAAGCACGCTGTTGATGTGATCCAGCGAGTCTACTTTGTTGCTGTTCGTAAAGGCATCAAGCTCGGCATGCTGTCTGCCGAATGCACCGAGTTGCTGCCTCAAACATCCAAGTCGGAACAAGATGTGAGTCATCGAAGCCACAAGAGCATCATGGCGCAATCCTCGACAAAGCTCAATGTGGTTCCGGCCAAGACAGAAGGACGGCCCATGCACGAAACTTTGAATCCGTATCGAGATCAACTCTTGTACTGTTTGAACTTTACCGAGCAACATCGAGAAGGCCGCTTGCGCGACATTCTCGTCCGCAGTCGCAAAAAAGGCATTAGCGACATGCTCAGCGCCGTCAACAATTCGGCCCGCGTGTTGGTCTTGATCCATCAAGTTCTCGAGATGTTCTTCGAAACGTACGTCAGTGTCGTGAGCGCAGTGCACATCGAGTACAGCGATGTGAAAGTAAAGAAGATGCGGTTCTTTTGCAAACAATTGGAAAGCATCGCAGCCGTGGTTGTTGCGGCGCTCAATCAAATGGAGGCGTCGTACTTTGGTGTGATCTTTGCCCAACTGCACGATATTCGAGTCCCCAATTATGGCGTGACCGACCCTGTCGAGTGCCGCAACACGATGCGAAGTAACATGAAGAAGCTCTTGTTCATCTTGAAGCGGATCATCGACAAGAAGAAGCTCAAACCCCTGCTGGACGAGCAGTCGTTCGTGGAAGCCGAAGAAATCATGGGCTCCATTCGCCTCGATTTTGCAGTGAATGGACGTCGGCGCTTGGGTCACGCGGCCCTCGACAACGCATCGATTGCCGACTTTTTGTGCGAAGCCGCTGAACTTGGAGGCCTCAAAAAGTTTGACGAGTTCATCGCTGGCACAAGGTATCTCTACGCGCGGTCAATGCTACGCGACGACGGGACGGTGGACAACTTGGAGGACTTTATGATGGGAACATCCGACAACATGACGTTGAAAGAGGCCATCAAAGAACTGATCAACGCGATTCTGACGCAGATCAAGACCATTTTCTGCTCCCCTTTCCGTCTGGCACGGCGCATGGTCGAGCGCTTCGCCTCGAGCCAAGCCGCCGCAAATGTTGTAAGTTCGTCCGAAAGGTCAAACGGAAGCATAGTCGGGGATCGCGCGCGCCGTCACAACAGCACATTGTTGACGCAAGCGCATTCCCAAGAGATGGAACGACGGCTCATGTCACCATTCCCATTTGCGTCGGTGTTCTTTTGCCACCGCCATGAGCAGGCCGCAAGAGTCAGCGTGGTGTGGAAGGTATTACGCCAGGTTGGACTACTTCAAACGGCCCATGCAGCATCGTCGGCGTCGTTCCCGGTGCTGCTTAAGCCAAACTTTGCCGAAGATTTCTTGGCGGGGTTGCTGTCCAAACGGCAGGAGCTCATTATCGACCATCTCCTGAACCCGGAAAATGCTATACACGACGACGTCCTCGAACGAAAGTTGACTAGCACCGAAATCCACATCGTCATGCTCAACATTGAGAATTTCTTGGCAAGACAGGACAACGACATTGCCTTGTACTATGTGCACCCGTCGACGCTGCCAGTGAACGTGTGGAATTTTGTCGTGTCACCTGTGTACCATACTCGTCTCATGCACGCGCATTACCTGCTGAACGATCTAAAGAGTGCAGATTCGCTCGCGTCAGCCCAAGCGCTGTGGCAAACACTGGAAAAAGGCCACTCATTCGTGACACAAGCCATTCGCCTGAGTCCCATGATGAAGCTCAAAACAACCAAGCGAAAAATGAGCCAGAAGCATGCATCCGCGCCCTTCGTTCGCCGCAAGTCGTGGTGTCCATGGAAGTGGCACAAACCAAGTCCGGATGGTGGCGATTACGACGGTGCAAGCTTAAATACGGACGAAATTCGACGCAAACCCATGGGAGTGCTCTACACAAACTACATCCTTCCGGTCTGCGACCGGCAGCTCGACGATCCGTTGTCCGACCAAATGGCGTGGGAGCACTTGATCGGGGAAATCAACGCGGGCAAGTACCCCCCATGGGTATTTCGTATTAACGATTCGGTTTGCTCCCCGCATTTACGACGGGCAACCAAAGTTTACCGGTCGCTCCTTCGTGGCATCATTTACCTGACGTTCTGGCGGCTCGAAGAGTACTTTCTCGATTTACAGGACCGGTCGTGGCCAGAAGGCGAAGTCATTCGCCTAACGTGTACGAGTCGCAAATGCCTCGAAGAAGATATCGTTGAAAGCATTGTGATTTACAAGCATTTCAAGAAAGCAATGAGCGAGTTGTTCCGCGTGTGGTAAGGTCGGTTCGCAAAACCTTGGCTGACGAACACACTTGAATAGGATGCTCGAGAGTGGCAGCTTGGGTTTGCCGCTGTGGCAGCACTGGGGCTACTTTGTTGGCGGGTGCATCTTTCCGGCAGTTGTGCTCTTCATCTACCTCCCAACTCTGTTGTCGTACACGGATTATTCGGCCCGCGACACAGATTACCACATGAAATGGCTCTTGGCGGGGTTCTTCAGCCTCTTGTTTACCTTGGTCATGTGGTCCATTGTGCTGCTCGTCAAAAGTACAACCTTCTTCCATGAATATTTGGCCCTCGTCATTCACGCGTTCGCTTTGCTGATTGTAGAAACCGAAAACTTCATGGTGCAGGAGCGCCAACAAGTGCGGTACTTTCCTGTAACACGCCACTATAGCAACTACTTGGCCTTGTTTGGATTGTTTTCCGAGATGGTCCAGCACAATTCGATCCCGTTCAGCGAAGGGGTCAAATGGTGCGTTGGCTTTCTGAGGACCATGGCGTTTACCGTGTCGAGCTAGGGCGTCGGGGTATAAACTACCGACTTTGGTCAACTACATTGGTCAACTCGGCATAACAAACTTCGACTTTTTCCACATTGAGTCGTTTAACTTGGCGTACCTCAAGTCGTTTTTTGCGAGTGGAATCTTGGTCCTGTTTCTCGTCGTACTCAAGTGTGCCAACAAGTTCCACAAAACGTACCCAGCGCTGAACCAGCGCCTTACCAAAGACTTGCCGCCGATCGTGTCGGGGCTGTTGTTTGTTGTAAGTCCAAATCTTGTGCCACCACGAATAAATCCACGAAATTCCTTTAGGGTATTGTGAATTCGTTTTCGTCGCTCTTGTTTTGCTGCACGTGCGACCAATACGTCGACAATCCTGCCGCGCAGGAAGCATGCTACCTCCAACGCAACGGATCCAACGAACCGTTCTTGTACAGCTACCCCGACCTAAACTTCACATGTTGGAGTCCCGAACACAAACCGTACAATGTCCCTGTGACGTCGTCGATAGTTCATCCTCTGTGGCTTGTAGATTGGCATACGTGGGGCTCATGGGGTCGACTTTTTTCATTCCCATCGGAATCCTCGGCGCAGGAATGAGTCAAGTGCTGTTCCCGCTAGAAACGTTAGACATCAAGTTTTCGCCCATCATTGATTTGACGAGCCAGTTGACCAAGACGATCACGGCGATTTCCGCTCTCTTTTTCACGTTCCGCACGCAATACATGATTTCAATTGGATTTGGCCTCAACTTGCTCCTGTTTGCCGTCACCTTGGTCAACAAAACGTCATCGATCTGGTACGAAAATTGTTCCTGTGTTGCTGCCAAATCATGGCCAACGTGGTGGTGTACGCAGGTACATTGGAACGGTCAAATCGGTCATCTACATCATGTCGGTGTGGACGTCGCTGTGTGCGTTTGTCAACATCTTACTGGACTCACCGTCCAGCGGTCCCATTTACTACCTCAACGTCGGGTGGTTTGCCATTATGTGTCTGGCGTGCTGTGTATTGGGCATTCGACTGCGATTCCGCAACATGCGCGAAGAACGGGCGAGGCGAGAGAGACTGCGCGACTACCAATTGCTCAACGACACGTCCGAGCTCAGCCGGCTCACAGACATGGAAGAGGACATGCTTCGACGAGCAACCAAGCCCCTTTCGACGGAGCAGCTGGAAGCTACTGCCCCCAAAGGTTTCATGGATGCGGCAATGCTCAAGGCCCACCAACTCGGGGCGCAGGAGTTGCCTGCACATCTCGAAGAGTTCATGCGTTTGGCGAAGAAATCGGCTGAGAATCCTACAACCAGCGAGCTTATGTTCAAAAGACGGGCCAAGCGACTCGGACACCGCATCGCGGCATTTGAGGAGCTCGAGCGCTTGAGCAAGCACCACGGCCACAAGACAGCATAGTAAAATGCGTGTGTACAACGATATGTCCCTTACATTGTACCTTCATGTGGGCTTGGGCTTGAGCCACGTCGTGATGCCACTCGGTTTCACAGGAGGGGAAATCACTTCTAATGGCGCAGGCTCCGCTGGAGGAAGTTCAACGACTTCTTCAGCTACTGGAGGGGTCACCTTGAGCAGGGGTGACACAAAGTTGGGCTGGTCGAGAAGCACCACGATCGTATACGCGGCGAGGTCTTCGACTTGCTCGATGATTCGAGGGATAAGTTTTACGAGCTTGGACGGCCGATGGTGATGCTCTGCGACTTTTTTATGCGTGGTGGCAGGCGGACCATCGAAATCTTCAGCAGGTCGCTCGTCAATGTAGTCGACTTCATCTTCGTACGCCAGCCACTGATCTCCATAATCGAGTCGATCCTCCTCGTCTCCGTTTTCGTCGTCGCTGTCCTTGCCACTCAAGCTTTCGCCCATTTCGTCGTCCTCCCATTCCAAATCGCTCTCCACGGTGTAGTCAAGACTTGCCACCATAGCGAACGGCCGACGGCCTCGACGCAGCACTCGGGCCTTCTTCGAGTTGGTGCCCCAATACGCTGGTCGATAGTTGTCGTGGAACTGCAACAACTTCTTGATACCCAACGTTGGGTGTCTGTGACGTTGGCTGGACCAACTCCCCGGCTGCACTGGAACTTGCGGTGCTGTACCAGTCGTCAATGAAATTGCTGGTGGGTTCTTTGGTCCCGTTCCATCCTTCGACATTCCAAGTCCCAATTCTTGGTCGATTCTCTCCATATTACTGTCCGCCAGGACCGTTCGGTCTCTGGAAATGTCGTTACTCGGTTTAGTTTCCGTCTTCTTCAAGAACGTGCCCCACGTTTGGCGGCGCCGCAGGAGCTCCTGCTCTTCTTTTTCTTTCGCCAACGCTTCCTGTTTCTTCTTCGTGTCTTCCTTCTCCTTCCGTTTCAGCTCTTGGTCCATCCGCTTCGCTTCCTCCTTCTCCATTTGTTGCTGAGCTTTCAAGTCCTTCTCCAACGCCTTCTGCTTTTCGTGCTCACCACGCTTTTGAGCCTTTTGGATTTCTTGCTCGACCGCGACGAAGAACTTGCTCACTTTGCCCTCTTCCAAACTCAACTTCGAGTCATCCGTCGTGTCTTCCAGGATCATCGTGGCGATCTTGTCCAATGTTTTAATAGCCTGACCAGTGCGTTTCCGCTGTTTGCGCACGCGGCGAATTATCTTGACAGCATCGTCGTCAAAGTACGACTCGATTGCTCCGACCTCCCACACCCACATCGCTCGCGGCGTTGTATCTTGGAACATGTGCGCCTTCTTCGACTTGGCCCCATAAGACACTCGTTCGGCCATCGACTTGATTTCCATTTCCACCATCGATGCATTGAAACAGGCCACCTCAGACGACGCATTCAGCCACTCGAGCCATTCGGACTGAATCTTGTCTGCCAACGTACTCAAAGAGTCCATGCAACCTTGAATTCGCCTCGCAATGAAGGACTTGGCCACCACCGGCACCGACGCCCATGCTGTTGTGATGGACTTACATTCCGCTGTCAATTCTTCTCGGCAGGCTGCTAAGAACTCCGTCGTCAAGTTCAAACCAATGTCGACGTGGGCGCCATAGATTTCTTGCAGCAACTCGTCCTTGTTCTTGCCCTTGGTCAGCGCAACGAAGAGTTGTTCGACGTCTGTGAGCTTTTGCAGGTACAACTCATGCTTTTGCTGTAAGATTCCACTCAAAGCTGGTTTGACAACAGCCGGAGGGGCTTCAGGGGATGCCGCTGCCTTTGATCTCTTTCGAGCAGGCGGCTTGACCTCAGCGGGCTCGTTTGGCTTGTGCACAGTGGTGGTCGCCACTCGTTGTGGCCTTGACTTTTTAGTCTTTGCCTCAGCAGTATCCGAAGGGGTCATGTTGACTGAATTGTCGTCGCTGTCGTCAATGGTGATGACATCCGTTTTAGCCGTTCCTTTTACACTTGACACACTTGGTGCTTCTGTAACTCGTGCTGGCGTTACGAGTGTCGTGGAGTCTGGAGTCGGCGCTGGAAGCTGGGCTTGCGCGTTTGGGGTTTTCAAGGCATTCGCTGGGGCCTTCGTTTTACGTTTCTTCATCTTCGGTGGCACAGTGTCGCATGATACAAGCATTTCTGTATCGTCTTTCTTAGCCTCGTGATGAAACGTTGGCGACGACTTGGTCAGCTGGTCGTCCTTAAGTTTGTCCAGTTGAATTGCAGATTGTGTATCTGACAACTTAATCTTTCGTTTCGATGGCTTTGTTTGCATCCCCTCGATATTGAGAGGAGGGTTTGCTGTGGTATCTGTATTGTTTCCTGGCGGGGACGATTCTTTTGCTTCTGCGATCGCTACGGGTGGGTTCTTGGTTGTCGTCGGCACAGGATCCACACCTGGCGCCACATTTCTACTAACTGGAGAGAAGAACGACGCAATACTAGCCTGCTTCCTCTTCTGTACACGAGAGGATGGTCATTTTGGAGGAGACGTGGGCGATTCGTACCTCTGGCGTCGTCATCCTGCATTCGAGTGAGGTGGTTTTCCCGCTTGTTTGGCGCAACTGCGGTTATCCGGATTTTTATCCGGTCAAGTCTAAAGAGATGTTGGCGCGGACGGCGTACCGTGGATGGACAGAACTCGACCTTGATGCGTGATGCTGCGGAGGACATGAAGAATGGGATGTTGAGATGTTGCACATGACACACTGGTACACATATATGTATGTCGAACTAACGCTACTAGTCGGAACTGTTTCCGCTCTTGGACTTCTTGGTCGAGCCAACTAGCTTTTGAAAGTTCGCACGACCACCGCCGCCAGCGCTCTTCACAGGACGAATTAACTTGGTAGGAACTTTCATTTCTTTGTCGCCGTCGTCGTATTCAATGTCGTAACGTCCGTCGCCGTGGTCTTTCGAGATCGTGCCTTTGAACCACTCCGTTTTTCCTACACGACGATTTCTATGTCATCATCCCTGACATTCCAGCACAACGTGTATGACCATACCTTTGTACAATGCTTCGACTTTAGTTCCAACGCGATAGCTTTCCGAGGAAGATTCGGGTTTCTTCGATGTCGTCGATGCCTTCGAGCGAATCAATTCGGCGGCAACGCTTGTCTCTTTCTCTCCATCGTCGTAGTCAATATCGTAGGTGCCATTGAGTCGCGCCCTGGATATCACACCAGGATAGAACTTGGATTTACCCTTGTATTGCGCCTCCACTTTTTCGCCTTCCTTGAACTTCTTGGCGCTTCCGTGAATAAGGTCAGACTCTTCCTCACTCTTCTTTTTGGGACTGCTCGCCTTTTCACGAGACCGGATCAACTTGGCCGCGACTTCCTTCTCCTTCTCCCCATCGTCGTAATCAATGTCGTACGTCCCGTTCGACCTCGCGCG